AAATCTATCTGTCCATGGGGTGATTATCTTCCCAAGGTCAATTTCAAGGCTCCATTACTTGCTTTGCTGTCCAAATATGAAAGCCACTAGTTTACATTCAAGAATGATTTCCCTCATAATCTTGTGTTTTGGGCCCAAATGTTATTGGAATAGTCAATGTTCATGCAGGGTTTAACTTGGCTTTGTGTCCTCTGAGGGATAAGTCCTATGCACGAGGAAGTGGAAATGATGTAAGAGCTGAGTATTTCTTGGGATAAGTTTACTTGGTAAAAATGTTGCCATTTTCTTTTTTTATTTTTATTTTTTGAGTTGGAGTCTCACTCTGTCACCCAGACTGGAATGCAGTGGCCGCTCCCGGGCACCGCAGCCTCGACCTGCTGGGCTCCGGCGATCCTTCCGCCTCAGCCTTCCAAGTAGCCGGAATTACAGGCATGCGCTACCATGCCCGGCTGATTTTTTGATTTATTGTAGAGATGAGGTCTCGCTGCCTAGGCGGGTCTTGAACCCGCGGGCTCAGGTAATCCACTCACCTCAGCCTCCCAAAGGCACAGGATTATAGGCTGAGCCACCGAGCCCGGCTGGTTCACAGCATTCTTGACCTCCTGTACTCAGGTGATCCTTCCGCCTCAGTCTTCTGAGTAGCTGGGACTAAAGCATGTGCCAAATGATGTTTTGTTTTTATTTTTTGTAGAGATGAGGCCTCACTGTGTTGCTGAGACTGGTCTTGAACTCCTAGGCTCAAGCAATTCTCCAGCCTTGGCCTCCCAAAGTGCTAGGATTACAGGCATTAGCCACCACTCTCAGCCCCAAATGATTTTTTTTTTTTTTTATCATGAAAAGACTTCTCTGAGGCTTCTTGTGAGAAGATGCTTTGGGATATTCTAGATTTGCTAAATACAGTAAAGCAATTACAAAAAAAGAGAAAGGTCTTGCATAGAATAGGCTTGGTACCCATGGGTGGAACTGAACCACACAGTGTTGGCTGTTTGCCTGTCTTTAAAATGAGGCTTGGCCAGGTGTGATGGCTCAAGTCTGTAATCCTAGCACTTTGGGAGGTGAGGGAATTGCCTGAGCTCAGGGGTTTGAGACCATCCCAGGCAACTTCGTGAGACTCTGTCTTACAATAAATCAAAAAAATAAAGCCGGGGTGGTAGCGTGTGCCTGTAGTTCCAGTCACTTGGAAGGATGAGGCAGAAGGATCGCCTGAGCCCAGGAGGTCGAGGCTGCAGTGGCCATGAGAGTGCCAATGCACTCCATCCTGGTCAAGTGAATGAGACTCTGACTCAAAAAAACAAACAATTCAAAAAAAAAAATGTAGAAGGCTGAGGTGGAAGGATCACCTGAACCCAGCAGGTTGAGGCTGCTGTGGCCGGAGGCATGTCACTGCCCTCCAGTCTGGGCAACAGAGTGAGAACTCCAACTCAAAACCAAAACAAAACAAACAAAGGAGGCTGGAGATACAGCTAGAAAATAGCTAGGGTCATTTAGTCTTTCAGAACATTGGCACTAATGGGGATGCTTATTTTGAGATGGTCTATGCATATAATAGTTTACAATTTGTGTTTCTCAAATCTTTAGGTAATCTCTGAACTACACACTAAAGAATGATGTGGAAGTTTCACAGCAAATCCTTAGATGTGGGAAATCATAATCAAGTCTCCTGGAGAAAGGAGGCAGCTGTTACTTTTTGTCAGTGTCCTGAGAGGGGGAGGAAATGAGGGCCCTCTGTGTTCCTGCTAGCAGATGGCTGTCTTGCAGTTGGCAGTCTGCCAGACTCCCAAATCGGTTGTTCTTTTCCATGAGAACTGTTAATGTACTTGGTCTCAAGAGAGGTTGAACTGTTAGGCAGTTCACTCAGACCCTCCCCCTGCTCTGTATACTTGTGTGAATGCCAGTCACCTTGAAAGGGAGTGCATCCATTACTAAATAAACACACCAATGAGTTGTTGTGGGATGGCTAGAACGGTCTCAAGTCTTTGCCTTTTTGTCGGGTTACCCGGCAAGTATTCATGTTTGGGGAAGTTGCTTTTCACATTACAGACATTTTTGGTTTTCTTCAAATTACACTTTTCACTATCAGGTGCTGGGATTCAGAGACGAAAAGATACTGTAACCTGTAAAACAGCAATAGCTACTATGGGATGGTCACAGAGCATTGTTATGGGAGAGTTTTGTTTTATTTATTATTGCATTTATTCATTTATTTATTTGTTTATTTATTTAAACAAGGTCTTACTCTGTCGACCAGGCTGGAGTGTAGTGGCACGATCACAGCTCACTGCAGCCTCAACCTCCTGGGCTCAGGCAATCCTTCTGACTCAACCTCCCAATTAGGTGGGACTACAGGCGTGCACCATCATGTCTGGCTAATTTTTTTATTTTTTGTAGAGACAAAGTCCTGCTATGTTGCTTAGGCTGTCTCAAACTCCTGGGCTCAAGCATCCTCCTGCATAGGTCTCCCAAAGTGTTGGGATTAAAGGCGTGAGCCACAGTGCCTGGCCAATTTTCAAATCTTTTAGTATATACCTAGCAGTTAAATTTAGGGATATCTGGTAATTCTATCTTTAACTCTTTAAGGAATTGTCAACTTCTTTCCAAAGTGGCTGCACCATTTTACATGCTCACCAAAAGTATACTGAGTTCCAATTTCTTCATGTCATTGCTAACACTGCTATTTTGTTATTTAAAAAAAAATTACTCCGGGCTCCGTGGCTCAGCCTGTAATCCCGCGCCTTGGGAGGCTGAGGTGAGTGGATTGCCTGAGCCCACGGGTTCGAGACTCGCCTGGGCAACTTGGCGAGACCTCATCTCTACAATAAATCAAAAATCAGTTGGGCGTGGTAGCGTGCACCTGTAGTTCCAGCTACTTGGAAGGGTGAGGCGGAAGGATCGCTGAAGCCCAGCGGCCACTGCACTCCAGTCTGGACAACGGAGTGAGACTCCAACTCAAAAAAAAAAAATTACAGTTATCCTAATGAGTGTAAAGTGGTATCTCACTGTGATTTTGATTTGCTTTTCCCTAATGACCCCTAATGACCAAAGATGGTGAACATCTTTTTTTTTCTTCAGATTTTAAAACTTTATTTGCATATTAAAAAAATTGTACATTCCAATAATTAAAAAATGGCACTCTGATTAAACTGCATTTTACAGCCTGCAGGATACCTTGGGCCAGCTTGATTGACTCTAGATTTCACTGTCATCCCACCCCTCTTCTTCCTTCACCAACATGCAAGCTCTTTTCCTTCCCTGCCAGCCAGACAGGCAAATGGGAGAGTCAGGCGCGGCCTTCGTTGTCAGTAGTTCTTTGATATTAAAAGGGGTAGCACAGTCATTTAAACTTGATCCAACCTCTTTGCATCTTACAAAGTTAAACAGTTAAAAGAAGTAAAATAAGAAGGCAATGCTTGTGGAATGTACAGTGCATACTGGCGGCGCTGACCTCATTACGATTCGCCTGCTTGTTTCTCCTGTTCGATCGTTTCTTTGGAAGGCAGTGGGTTTTTCTCTTGCGTTTCTGTCTTTTTCAATTTCGACTTATCGAATTTCTCGATCTCAGCCATATTGGGTTTGTCAGACATGGTCTCGTAGGGAGCAGAGAGAGGCTTTCGAGCAAGGGAAATCTGGTCTGCGCAGTGGCCAACGCCAAGTCGGTGAACATCTTTTCATGTGTTTGTTGGCCATCTATACATCTTTGAGCAATATCTACTCAAGTCCTTTGCTCATTTTTTTTTTTTTTGAGTTGGAGTCTCACTCTGTCACCCAGACTGGAGTGCAGTGGCCGCTCCCGGCCACCGCAGCCTCAACCTGCTGGGGGCTTCCAAGTAGCTGGAACTACAGGTACGTGCTACCAAGCCCGGCTAGTTTTTTTGATTTATTGTAGAGATGAGGTCTTGCCAAGTTACCCAGGAGGGTCTCGAACCTGTGGGCTCAGGCACTCCACTCACCTCAGTTCCCAAAGCGCGGGATTACAGGCTGAGCCACCGAGCCCGGCTTGTAAAAGTTCTTTTTATAGACTAGAGAGATCGTAATCAGGAATATTAACTTGAAAATACATTTTTTTCCACTCTTTAGGTTGTTTTGTCTGTTTGTGCTGTGATAACAGAATATCTGAGAATGGGTACTTTTTTTTAGTTGGGGGTCTCACTCTGTGATTCAGGCTGGAATTCACTGGCACGATCACCACTCACCATAACCGTGACCTCCTGAGTTTACACAATCCTCCTTCCTCAGCCTCCCAAGTAACTGGGATTATAGGCATGCATCACCTGGTTAATTTTCTGATATTTTGTAGAGACGAGGTCTTGCTATGCTTCCCAGGCTGGTCTCGAACTCCTGGGCTCAAACAATCCTCGGAGCCCAGCAGGTGGAGGCTGCGGTGGCCGGGAGCGGCCACTGCACTCCAGTCTGG